GAACCCCTTGCAAAAAAAAAAAAAAAAAAAAAAAGAACGCTCTGCATGTCACCTCTCAAGTGTTACATTTTTTTCTGCTTTCCTCAGACCTTGTCAGGCCCAAGGAAATTCTCAGTTCTTAAGTAGGTTGGCCCTGGTTTGGCCATATGCAGTACATAACTCCAGAGCTTCATTTCTCCAGCAGTTTGTGTTACCTCTTCGGTGCCACATGCTGCAAAAGGAACATGACTTTTGCTCTTTGACCCAGAGACCCAGCAGACAACCCCAGCAAGAGATCCAGGAAAAGCTACTCTCTTCTCAGGGACCATCTTTTCACCCAGTTACAGGCTCCCAGATCCCCGCGTTACTCAATTTTCTAAATTTGTTTCTGCACAGAAATTCTTCCCATTCCTTCCTGCAGGCTGGGCTTTTGAAATAAAGAAGCTAAAAATGAATTCTGCAGGCTGTTGTATCCTTCATTTCCTGAAATAACAACTACAGAATAACCAACCTAACTGTGTAAGAGAGGGAAAGATGGAAAGTATTTCCGGTGGGCATCACCCCGTCAGAGTGCAGATGGTGTGCTTTCTCACTGCCAAGCAGCCACATCCACCGCTCCTGGAGCTTCAGCCAATGTGGGGTCCCAGTGGATGACAGAAGCCCCAGAAGTTCTAGGTGCGCAGTTGCCACAGAGCATCCCTTCTTTCCCTGCCCCCATTCCTGGAGAGAATAGTTCTGGGGTCCCTCGTTTGAGGGAGGGGACCGCCAAGGCTGAGGAAAGCCAGTTGGGCATGCAGCTGACAGCTGGATCTCCAAGGGACAGAACATGTCCAGCTCAGCATGGCCAAGCGGGTGGGACTGCAGCAGCTCAGTAAGTTCCAGTCTGTCATCTCTGGTTGCAGGGCCTCCGAGGATAGCAGGGATTCTTTGAGTTCTCAGCAGTGATTTAGAAGAACCCAGAGAAACAGCATATACTTTGTGAAGGATGGTACTCTTCTCTGAGGTGGAATTATGCCAACAGAGTGGTGGTTACATTAGCCTGTTGCCCCTGATCACAAGCTCCAATGGCTATAATTTAAGGCCATCGATAAAGAGGAAGAAATTACCTGATGCAAGTTGTATGGCAGACAAAGTATATCAAATATGTCTTAAAGGGAGCAAAAATACTAAAAAGGGTCTCTAAAGGTGGAAAGGTCAGGAACCTTGGTAAATTTTGTCTCCTTCACTTTATAGTCTGAGGCCCAGAGAAGGGAATGGGCTCTTCCTAGCTCCCTGGTTAAATTAGAAGTAGAACGCCAAGATGTGCGTCATAATGGCAATCAGAAATGGCTACAGCTTGTGTCATGCCCTGTGCTAAAGACTCCGTATGCTCCATGAGGGCAGAGTTGCTACTGCATCACAGACCCATCATCAGTCTTTGAGGAGAGAAAGCGATCTTACGGCATCATCATAGCAACTCTGTTTTAACAACTTCATGTTAGGTTCGGAGATAGACTCCGAGAAATTAAATGATTTGCTGAAGGGGAGCAACACAACGGGGATTTGGACTGAGATCTGTCTGGCTCCCAACTCCATGATTTTTTTTTTTTCCCACAGTAATCAGGATTGAACCCAGGGGCTTTGCACTGAGCTAAATCCCCATCCCTTCTTTTAAATTCTAAGACAAAGGGCTGGTGATGCAGCTTACGGCATAGTCCCTGCCTGGCAAGATCAAGGCCCTAAGTTCGATTCCTGGTGCCAAAAATATTTTTTTCCTAAAACAGGGTCTTGCTAAATTGCCAAATTTCCCAGGCTGGATTTAAATTTGCAATCCTGCCTTAGCTTCCCAGAATGCTAGGAGTATAGATAAGCACCACCAACACCCATACAACTCCATGATTTTAACTGAGATAGTATCTGCTTCCCAGGACTTTTTCTTCTTTTTTTGGTACTGGGGATCAAACTTAGGAACTTGCACATGCAAGGCAGGCATGGTGCCACTGAGCTAAATCCCTAGCTCTTCTTCTTCTTTTCTTCTTCTTCTTCTTTCTTCTTTTCTTCTTCTTCTTCTTCTTCTCCTCCTCC